CCGCCGCTCCCGCGCCGCGGGGCCTCGACGGCGCGCCCGCAGCCCCCCTGCCCGCGCCCCGGCGGAGCTGCCCTGCCGCTGCTGGAGCTGCCGGGACGGGGACAGCCCCGCTCCCCCGTGCACGGCGGGTGGGGAAGGCGAGTCTCGCCGTGGGGCGAGAACCCCGCGACCACCCCCGGCCCACGCAGGTGCCTCCCGCCGGCGGGGGGAGGGTGGGCCTCGGCGGGTGCACCTGCTCCGCTCCCTGCGTGGCGTGCGGGCTGCAGCCCTCGGGGGCAAACAACCCCCGCTGGCAATGGAAAGGGAACTCGGGGCTGCCCGGGGCTTGACTGCGGTTGCCTGGCCGCGGGGGATTTCTGCTATAGTTCCCCTTGCTGCTGCCCGGCGTGGATGCTGCCTGCCGCCGCCGCGGCGGGAGGGGCGCCGGGTGTCCGATGAGCTCCAGAGAACACGTTTTTTGATACAGAAATGAGTCAGGTTGTGAAAAATGGCGAAACATGCAAAGTTCCCAGGCTGCGCTGCTGCTTGAAAAATCATGGCTTTGCAGCGGTTTCGGCGCACTCGCCCTTTCCTCAAAGGCCCGCGGCTCATCAATGGGAACCGACGGGGCGGGCCGGGCCGGGCACAGCCCGCGGGCAGCCCGCACCGCCCCGCCCGCGCAACGCGAGCCACCGGCCCGGGCACCGCGGGATGGACACGCAGCCGGGAGTACTCCCCGAGCGGACGCATCCCTTGTTGGGATCACCGCGTGCTGAATTCGCCCGAGGGTGCGCGTCGTTGCTGTTTTGCCCTAGCCAAGCCTCCGGTAGGAGGTGCCGTGCCTGCCGGCCTCTGTTTGCCTACCTGTAGAATGGGTCTGCTGCACCGGTGTTGGTGCCGAGTGAAGGGGCTCTGTACAGTGCCGTGTCTGCAAAGCATTCCTCTGCGAGGAAGCGCGTGTGTGGCGGTAACACTGATCTGGAAAATTGAAAATTTTCTCTGTTCTACACCTTTGTATAAAATGCATTTTGGCATCAGCTGAGAACAAGGCTGCTCATATCCACTGGATTTTTAAGTTGTTTTGTAGTTTTTTTTTCCCCCAGTAAATATGTCTTTGGGCAATGAAGGAAACCAGGAGGCCAGAGAAAATACGGAAAGATGTCTTAGTGTCTACAGTGTTGCCAGGTGTTTGGGGTATTACTGTTGCAAAATCAAAAGTGATAAGAAGCCACAGGACTGTAAATTCTCTGTGTGTAAAATGTTCCTGAGCCCTTTACCAAAAGTTATTTAGAAGTAAGAGTGTTTTCTGAGTACTGCTCCAGCAGTGGATGTTGCTTACATACACAGAAGGCCCAGAGCTGGGCCTGTCACCAATGCAGCTGTGAGGATATGACAGAATCCACTGAATCTACTGTTAAGGATATGTGCTACTTCTCTGTGACTGAAAATGAATGTTTCACTCAAGTGGTGTGGTCATTTTGCCTACTGTATCCCAGAGAGGTACAAACCAAACTGTGCAAGGTTATCTCTTCCTTCTTCTCCAGGAAACACTTTCCCTTATTGATTTTTGCAAATATTTCAGTGTTAACTGGGCTAAATCCAACATCTTCCCGATTTGGATGTAAATTTGCTGAATAAATGCAAAGAATGTCTATTATTGCTCTCAAGAGAGTTGTTAATATGTACAATTTTCTTCTGACAGTTTTTTTGCAAGACTACATTTCTTTTCCAGTGACTCTGAAGAAACACATTTTTTTCATCCCAGATTGAAAAAAGAATCCACTACATTTGGTTTATAAGATCACATAAAATTGCAAATAAAACACATCTTACTATGTTTTATTCCTTCAAAACAGAGAGGGAAATGACACCTCTACTCCAGGTTTAAGGTCAGTCTTCCACAACTCACTTTGCTTATATAAACCCGACTAAAATCAGTAAGGTGTGTGCATGCTCTGCACCAATGTTGCTTCATTCTCAGTGTTTAAAATTTAGCTAGAAACAAGTCACATTTCTACTATTTTGCTTTATTTCCCAAGCATCTGTAGCTTGGGGGACTTTGATGTCTGAGGGTTCTTTATAATATATTCTTGCCAAAGCCCAAAAGAAAAATCACCCTTCTGCATCTCAACTTATATATCATATGCCTTAAATGTGAAGTAGCAGACTTCTTACATTACCCTTCCAATTTTATTAATTAGTGATGTCTCTGAGCCTATTTATAGTAATTGCATCAACTGACAGAGTAATTGTAAACAGTGTAACTGCATGTTCTGGAGGGATTTTTTTCCCTTGCAGGAATTATATAGGTAATTTAATAAAAGTAATTATATAAATGGTAAATATAAGTTGAATTACTTGATTTCCTGCACCTCCGTTACAAACATAAACCTCAAGATGAAGTTTAAAAGCCTGTGAATAAAGTTTCAAGAATCCTGGTTAAACATCAAATCTGTTGATGTCAATCAAATCTACGTTGTCTTCTTCCTTACTGTTTTCCTGTTGCGATCTGCTGTTCAGCTGGCATGGCTTGGGCTGGGTATTGCCAACGTCAGTTAACTAGGCATAACCAAAGAGAAAAGGAATCCTGAAGGAAATTCAGCTGGGAGAAGAGCAGTGAGCCTGAACACCAGGGTTTTCCAAATGTACAGGAGGTAGTTGCATACTTTTTTTTAGACTTTGGAAAATCTCAGCAGTAGTCTCTACCTATGTGTTCCTATTTTTTCTGAGCTTGTCACAGAATCTGCAAGGAATACTGTGAAAACAGTGTCTAACAACTTGTATGATCACACGTGTTTTTTTCCTATCAAAAGCCTTATAAATTGCCACCTTTCCCTCTGGTACAAATATATCTTAGAATTCAAGAAACGTTTTTATAAATGTATGCTTATGTGTGCTTTTTTATTTACTTTCTGCATTTCTTTCAGCCTGTGTATCATAAAACAACAAGGAACTTTCACTTTTTTAGTTTCACTTTTAGACTGTAGTTACGGTAAAGTTTCAAATGCAGTTGTGGTATTTTTATAATTGAACATCAGGTGATTTTTGGTATTTTGGTCAGAAATGTTTTTAATGAATATTGTTAACACATCTGAAGCAAAATAAAAATGTATGTTTTCCTTTGATGTAGACTTCCTCACAAGTTCCTCATAAAAGAAGATAAGAAGATTGATTAAAAGTTATGGGGAAGGAGACAGGAGACTGGGGTTTAATGCCTCTTTTATAATGTATTGAATTATGTCTCCAACAATGTGCATTAACATTTTTGTTCCAGTAACCTGTTCAGTGTGTGAGGGCCAGGCTGGTGTCTTCCTGAGGGATACCTGCCTCAAAGGGAGCTGGATATGTTAGCACCCAGATTTGCATGTGTGCCGGGACTCCAAGAACAGCAAACACTTAGGTGTGAGTGGCAACCACCTCCCCGGCTGAAAATCGACATAGCCTGGTTCTGGGTATGGCCAAAACAGATGTGGGCCAGCAGGAGATGCAGCTCCCTGCACACCATCTTACTCATGTTTTCTTGCAGCCAGGCAAAAGAAAAAAGAAAGCAAGAGAAAGGGCAAGAAGCTGACTGGAAACTTTTAGCTGCTGGAAAGAAGATCTCTCCTAGGATATGCATCCCTGTGCTTAGAGAGAGAAGGGGTGCTTGGCTGTCTCCTACTCCAGCAGTGCAGATGGTGTAGCCTAGATCTTTAAGTCTGTACCTCTGGTTTCTGTACATGCAGGTTTAGAGCCCTCTAGACCCCTGTTACCCTGATTACAGCACAGCACTGAAAACCCACTGTGTTCTGGTGTACAACAGAAATGAGATAGCAAGGGTTCAGACTTACCAGTTGATTGCATTATATCTTTTTCTTTATTTATTTTGAAAGTATAGTTGACCTTAGGTCAGGTAGCAATAAGAATTCAATGATAAGGCGAAACTGAATCAATTGAAATTTTATAGAACTTGATGAAATTAGGATCTTGAGTGAGGGAGCAAAGGTAAACCTTACACTCATCAGCAGAGGCTCTTTTTTGTGGTAAACCCTCTTTGTGTATGGCTTGAAAGGATAGTAATGCCTGAGGCCTTCCAACTGCAAAAATAGCTTACTATAGGAACCAAACATATGTTGTACAAAAGCTGGTTTTTCATTTGTTCTGAAACAGCACATTACAGTAGGTGCAAAAGGAGGCTTGGGGGAAGTGACACGAGATCTTTGGACACCAGCAGAACTCCATGTCCAGTTGGCTGCCCAAGCACGGTGGGCTCAGTGGTGTTCCAAAAACAGAGCCTCCTGTGAAAACTAGCCTGTCCATGTAATGCCTTTCCATGTAATTCCTCATAACCACACAGAGCAATCTAATTTCTTTTTAAAACACAGTACTAACAATAAGAAGCATTCATTGCACATATTGCAGCTTCATCTTTTTAACCTACAGCGGAGCACTGACATTCACAGTAATAAGAAAAATTGCTGTATGGTGGGGCATTGACATTATATGTTACCAAAATACCTGGAGCAATACAGCCTTTCCAACTACTTTCATCACACACGAGACTATGTGATTTATTGAATTTATTTCATTGCTACCAACTACTACTTGAAAAGCCATCATGATGTTTATTTATTTTTAATATAAAATATGATATGATAAAAATATTAGACAAATTTGACTAATAACAGAGGAGAGGACAAATAAGTGAAAACATATGCAAATAAGCTTATTTCCTTAAATGATTTCTTTAAGCATACTAATATGTCAAAGAACAGCAATATGCATTTCCAAATGATAAAGTAAACCCTATTCACAAAAGTGATTTGCTCTATGTAGATGTTTACCTACAAG